CAAGGCCGCCTTGCTCCAGTTTGAAACCACAACAAAAGCCATGGACGAGTCTCCAAACAGCGGGGAATTACCAGTCTTTTTAACATGCTCATGCGCCATCCACAACAGTGCATTGAATTGCCCTTCCGTGGATTGCGTTGACAGGGCTTCACGAGACCTGAGAGCCAGTTTTCCGGTAGGCAACGTCAAAGCTTCTGGGGCCGAACATTGAACGTAGGCGGGTAAAGCAGCATTCTGGACATACGCGGCATTATCGCGAAACACGGATTTGACCCTTGGTCGAGGATCTATCGCCATCAGTGTGACAATATTGCGCTGAGATCCAGAGGGGAAGCCCTCGGCAATGAAGCGATTGATCAATGCAATAATCACATCGTGCTCCGAGGCAAACGCCGGCTTCCCCTGGCTATCAGTTCCTTCGGATGCAGCCTGGTCCTTGGCTTCTTTTAGGAGTGCATCTGCTATCTTGGCGGGGATGCAGAGCGTGCGAGACTCTGCAGGATAGAACTTGAACTCCAGCATCTGCCTCATGGCCCAACTTATCAATCCAAAGCCAGTCAGGTGCGGCAGGCCGTGACAGACCTTCTCAGTGGGTTCTCCGGTATACAAGGGGGCCATTGGGTCATCTCGGAGCCCTACAAATTCTGGCACGGCTTCGGGTCTTCCCGCGAGGACGAGCTTCCAGGCATTGATAACGGCTGCGAAGCCACCCAAGTCAGTAGTCATATGGTTGAAATTCACCGAGACCAGCGTGCCATCCTTGAAGGTTACCACATGGAGAGCAAATTGGGGATGATCAGAATAAATGAAATCATCAAACGTTCTCGGGGTGTCTTGTCCCAGTGCCAATGATATGTAATTCCGCGGGCTGGGAAACGTCTTGGGTTCGTTTGACGCCTCGGGAAGCTTGGAAGCTTCTGGGTGATCACACATGCGCATTTGGTAGCTCTCTTTGGAGAAAAGGACAGAAGGGCGAGCATCGGTGAAAGGAGTAGGGATATGGACCTCTGTCTTCCCATTGGGCTAGGAGCTGTGTCAGCGTTGTTCCCAGATTTGGTTTCAAGCATGGTGGGTTTCGTACTGTCTTACGAAGTCTTCCACCGAGCTTACGCCAGCCTTTCATCTGGAAGAGCTGTTGTAAAGACTGGCCAAGTTTGTCTGCATCGAGGACTTCATCGAAACGGAAGGTCCAGACCAGGGTATATTCACTCAAGGTTTTGGTATCATCGAATGGGTGCAGTGGAACCACCTCGTCCGATGCAACCAGATTTGGCGGTGTCCGCGGAGGAGGGTAGCCTAGGAGCTGCCAAACATATGAAGACATCTCTTGCATTTATCTTGTGTGACTCGTAAGATGCGTAATTCAGCTACAGCTTATGGAGAGAGCGATGCAGAGGGAAAAAACAGAATGCTGACAATGGCCCCTTTAGTCCGGAAAGCATGGTTGGGCAAGCTGACTAAACCCACCCCTTGCTAGTTATATTACAATCACTGGACTAACGCGATGAAAGGAGGTAGATTTAATAGGAGTCTAATAGAGAGACTGTTTCAAGAGTACTATATACAGCAATAGTTCAATTGAGGTGGAATATTTTTACTCTGGATCAACTCAACGTGCCAGCTTGTGATCGATACGGAGTGACCCTAAGACAATCAACCTTGCGAGGTAAACCAGCGGGTTGAATACGTCATGTGCAGCCAGTCATTATGAGATACAGTATCTTCTCGGTCGTGAAATTTTGCGGAAGTCCGGGCTTTGTACGGTTTTGCACTTGGAAGCTTATCTAAATTGCAATTTAACATCGTCCGCGCGGATCTATTTATGATCCTTAAGGATGTAAGCACTTGACAATCCAGGCAGGAGATAGCGACGATGACAAAGCACTATTGAAGAATTTGCCAGGCTATGACTCAGGTAGTCGGATCTCCCTTGAACAATGCTCCTCCCTCAGGTAATGAAATAATCCTGAAGAGCAGTGCAGAAGGTCATGTGTCATCTACCACTAAGCCACATTGCCTGAGATCCTCATAGCCTATTTGGTTTTACTCAATGTGTTCTATCATTTGCTGGATGATTTCTAAGTGCCCCAACCCATCTTAGCCTAGATGAATGAAATTGCAGAGCAAGTCTGAAACCTCGTGTTCTCGGCTGTCGTCGGCAGTTGAAGGAACAGGATTCAAAATGCTCCAGATTTGGACAATGGGGCAACCTAATCCGTATCAGAAGTTCCTAATATGGTATTACTTTATGCTCTGGTAAAAGGAGCGGCTGAAGGTCTGTGGGGTAAGTAACCTTAATCCATCAGGCTAAAGTGTTTGAGCAAATCATACGTGGCCGGCTTTTTCTACATTTACTGTGAAATAGCCTGAGGTGAGAACAGGGCAGATCAGTCTCCTTTTCCAGTGACCAAATGACTCTGAAGTCACATTTTCGAAACTGGATCCTTGCACGGAAAGCCGGCTAGACACATGATCCCCCTCGTACAAGATTGATTCCCTTCGCAAACATCCCAATAACGGGCCAGAATCAGGCTTAAATTTGACTTTCAAGCATGATATGCTGGTGTCTTAATCGGAATAGGATCTCCCTTTTCCTTTCTGGTCGGAGCAAGACGGTCCGTCACTCTTCTAAAGCCCGACCTCTTCGATATGCAACATATCAGTTGTGTGCTCCTTTATTCTCAGCTATATAAGTATGGCTGGGGGCTTTACCATCAAGATGCCTTAGTGGTCATCAGAAGAAAAGCTACTCAAAGCACTTGAATAATATTTGCCAGAGCAAAATCAAAAACATCATGATTTACACGCTTTCCGTGGCCCTGCTGTTTGGGATTACCATTACGGCCCTACCAACTACTCCTGTTAGTCCTCTCCTCGAGAGGCAAGCCTGTTCCCCTTCCTCCAACATCCCTGCTGTGTCAACTACATACCTTCCTGATCCCTTTGTCTTCGCGGACGGTACCCGAGTGACGAGTGTTGATCAATGGAGCTGCCGCCAGCAAGAAATTCTCAATGCATATCAGCAGTATGAATTTGGAGACTTGCCTGCAGCCCCGTCTTCACTCACTGCTAGCTTAAGTGGCAACACTCTCTCTATTACTGTTTCGGTATCTGGAAAGACTTCGACCTTCACCGCCTCCATCTCTGGGCGGTCTGGATCTTCAGCCCAGCCCGCCATCATCGCCATTGGTGGTTACTCTATTCCTATCCCATCCGGCGTAGCAACTATAACGTTCAATAACGATGGCTTCGCGCAACAGAATGGTGGCGGAAGTCGGGGGATAGGAACCTTTTATGATCTTCACGGCAATGGGCACTCGGCTGGCGCTCTCACGGCATGGGCATGGGGCGTCTCCCGCATCATTGATGCTCTGGAAAAGCTCGGTTCTTCGGCGACAGGGATTGATACCACGCGCCTCGGTGTGACGGGATGCTCACGCAATGGAAAGGGAGCATTTGTGGTCGGTGCCTTGGACAAGCGTATTGCTCTGACGATTCCACAGGAGTCTGGAGCTGGCGGTGCTGCTTGCTGGCGCATTTCGGACGCAGAAAAGGCGTTGGGCAAAAACATACAGACGGCCTCCCAGATCGTTACTGAAAATGTGTGGTTCTCCACACGGTTTAACCAGTGGACATCGAAGACAAACACACTCCCCTATGACCACCACCTTCTGGCAGGTCTCGTCGCACCTCGGGGGCTCTACGTCCCTGAGAATGTCATTGACTGGCTCGGTCCGGTGTCAACTACCGCTTGCATGAGGGCAGGCAAATTGATCTACAAAGCTCTGGGCAAGCAGCAAAACATGGGCGTCTCTGTGGCTTCAGCTCATAACCACTGCCAGTTCCCCAGCAGTCAGAACTCCGAGCTTACGGAGTTCATCAATTACTTCCTCTTGAAGGGCAGCTCCGCGCCTCAGGACCTTGACAAATCTGCCGTGTCGGCTGATGTCAATAAGTACATTAACTGGAGCGTGCCAACTCTCGCATAGTTTGGCTCGAGCTTGGACAAGAATGGGTGATAGCTCTCAAATTATATCAAGTAGAGCCTAACGAACCACAGATCCTATGCGGTTGTTATAAATCGTAGCTCAATATTGTCAAAATAGTACCAAGTTGGCCCGCATTTTATTCTGCTGACAGTAAATCTCTGTGAATGAGTAAATCTACCACATCGCAATTCTTTATCAGCCAAAACTTTTCGCAACCTCGCCACCCAGAAGGTTGAAAAGTGATGAAGAGCGACGATCTTGTGAAGCAATTGTCTAGCAGCCAATTCAAAGAACCCACGCCTACTCCACGCATGGGCATGTGAAACCCATCGCAAAACATTGTGGCATGATCTTTGAGGTGGTCGAGTTTGTCCGTGAGATTTACTGTAGTTGATAACAATTAAATACAAATTAAAACCGGACCGCCATTGACAAATCAATTTTGATGCGAATCAAACAAAAGCAGGGTCTACCGCACTCCGAACAATAAAAGCAGTCGACTAATTAGGGGATGGTCGAAAGGGCAAAAAGGGCAAAAAGAAAGGTCCCGGAGGGAGTCGAACCCTCGCTGACAGGATCAGAACCTGTAGTCATGACCGTTAGACCACGGAACCGTGGGACGCTAAGCGCCTCGTGGATGGAAGACTGGCTCGATGGAAGGCTGAGAAAAAAAAGCAACTTATATCCCCGCTGGCTTAGCTAATGCACCTCCAGCCGAATCACGAGCGTGCAACGTCACATGACATCGACTGAAATGTTCCGTTACCCTACATCTCACAAGAACGCGTTGTTGTGATAGGTACGTTAACGTTAGGCATACGTACCTGTGTAATGTTGCCTCGGCTATATCTATGCATGTTTCAATAGAATCATGCCACCATTCATCCATCTGCTTCATCATCTCGTCTGCGAAAGAACAGCTCTTGTCACGCCAGCCTTTGATCTCTAACTCGCGTTCGATCTAGCGACATGGCTAGTCAATCGCCTATCGCTCTCCCTGCCTCGCCAATCATGGACTCAGGATCCCCTCCTTCGTTCCTTTCCCTCCCCATTCACGTCCGCAAGAGGATATACTTCTTCGCAGGCTTGACCAGGGAGTGTCCAATCGTTATGATCCCTCCCTCTCCAGCTATAACTCGTTCTACGCTCAACCGTGACCCAGCTGAGACGCGTCTGGATGACGGACTGGTCTGCAATTTTGCATCGCGCAACAGAGGGCGGGGGTTGGGGTTACACATGCCACATGAGAGCCGGGAGTGCGAATGCCCAGAAGTCCCAAAGCAGCTTCTTCTCATCAACAAAGCTCTCCATGGAGAAATCCGAGATATTCTGTATGGCGAAAATCAATTCGTGTTGCGCGCACGTCGGCCAGACGATCTTGAACTGCTTTATAAGCTTTCGGATGATGCACTACGTGCTTTGAGCCATCTGTTGATCCGATTGAACAGCTGGCCATGCTATCGCGGGCATAGCTCTGATCTTCTCTACAAACTGAGATCCACTAGCCAATGCTTGACATGTGAGGCACCCGTGTCTAAGAGTGATGGCCAGATTTTCGTCGATCCGGAGAAATCTAAATCGATGGAGACGTGGTCGAATTTTTGCCAGCGTCTTGCGTCCTGTCTTGCACCCGGACGTCTGAATTTGGAATTCATTTGCGATGTTGGAGATCTTCGAACAGGTGAGAAATTTGCCGAGTCGCTTCAGGTCCTCCGACAGCAGCTCAAGAGCTGCGCTATCAGACTTGGCAGACGGCGAGACGCTCGTCTCCGCTCGCTCGCCCGTTCTACCGCAGCCAACTTGACTGCTAGCCAGCCAGAAAGCGAAGAATCTCCATTTCCATTTCTTTTATTACCACACGAGGTTCGCCTCCGGGTTCTCAGCTACACGAACCTCGGACCACACGGTCCCTTCAAACCAGAGTGGAGCGACATCACCATCAAACGTGGGAAATTTAGCCAAAGTTATCCCAAGGACGACCGGTCTCTCGTCTACCGAAGGGCTTGTTGCCTCGACTGTTCATTCACAAAATTGGACTGCACTTGCCCTTTGAACTATTCGTCTGTCTCTCCCAATTGCACATGCAGAGACCTGCCTCTTGATCTCCTCCGTGTCAATCAGCAGATGAACACGGAAGCAGCGCAAGTTCTCTTTGCGACAAACATGTTTTCATTTGAAGGCCCCTTTACCGATACGCTCAAAATGCTCCGTTCCCTGGATCCTGCCTCTTTGAAACTCTTCAGGCGAATTAGGTTTCGTTTTGAGGCAGGTCAGATTTTCAAATGGAGAACGTATAAGCAGAGCTGGACCGATCTTATCTCCTTCATCGGACAGAACTTTGATACACCTCGTCTCTTCATTGTATTCGATACAAATGTTGACAGTCAATCGTGTCGTGAGCGCCACCATGATCAAACGATCATGAACACGGTATATGACGGCTATGTTTTCTTCATGCAAGAAATGAAAGCTCACATCACTGTCTTGTTGGATTTTCATGTGACTCTTGGAGTCTTTCACTATCTGGAGAGGATCTTTGAGAAGCACATCCTGGGTCAAGAGTACGACAGTCATCGCGGTAATCAATATTCGAAGCCTGCACGCATTTTTGAGGCGGATCCCGATGATGATGATGATGACTCAGAGGAGGAGGCACTGATTGGGGTTAGATTTTGATGATCATATGAAGGACTTACGAAGCGTCGGCCTATTGTCTACTTGACGTATTTTGATACGTTTGCGCATGAAGCTTCAATCGGAGGAATTGGAGGGTCTCTAGAAAGCTCTCACAAAGATATTTAATGATGCTGATATGAATACTACACAGAATGAAGTCAATTTTATAACTAATTTTCATTTCCCCTACGCTGCATTGTGCATCCCCCAGTGATTAGCTTTACGTGATTATATCTGAGCCACCACTTGTGGGAATAGACTATTTTCATTCGGTCCCTTGTAATATATCCCTTCATTATCGAAGCTCAAAAAAATTACTGGTTGTTATTCTCTAGTTGCCCTAAGTCGAAACTGGAATCTTTGAAGTGGGTAGAGATGGGTTATTGGTCGCCCGTAAACTCATCTGTCCGGAGCCAGTCAAACGTGTCTAACAAGTCAAAATTAAAGTTCATCTGGGTCGAGTCAAACTGCCCCAAGGCATCAACAGAATCATTATGTGTTGGTGTCCCAAAATTGTTTAGCGTCAGATCCAACACGTGTTGAATCACGTTGCTGCAGTTGGAGCAAAGGTCCGCGTTGGGTGCGTCGGGGCCTACCCAGTCGAGAAAACCAACAAGCAGGCTCAGCTGCTGGATGATGCTTGATCGTGTGATCTTGGGATTCTTCGGATGGGACCCGGAAAATGTCGGTTTGAGAAGTTCCATGCAGAGGATCCCTCCGCCTGGTGCAGCATACGCCATGACCTTGTGACAGTCAGTAGGACCCTTTGAATGCAATGAAGAAAGAGACTCACCAGCCACTCGAAGTCTCTCCGAATCGATGTGAATTTATCCTTGTGAATCCAAATGCCTAGAATGGTGGTCACCATGTCATAGCTAACTACTAATAGTTCGCCCCCGTCGGGATAATTGTAACGAAGCAAGAGACGCTCGATGAAGAACATATTCTGTAAATGTTCCACCCGTATCAGAATCTTGCCATAGAAAATGTCCACATCAAAGTTAGCATTGTCAATGTCCTTTGGGCTGTATAGAAGACCGGAAGGAAAGCTGGATAGCACAGCTAAGTCCCGAGCCTTGATATCCCTTGCAGTTTTCTTTAGCGGTGTACAAATAGGTAGACTAGACGCCTTCTCACTCACAGTAAAGTATCGATATTCACATGCCACCCATTCCCTAACGCGATTTCTAGGATTTTCTCCCTGTTGTGTCCCAATTCTGCTCGTGCGCGAGTGATTGTAGCCAACCCAACCTCTCCATTAGTGTTCCAGCCGTTTTCATCCAACAACTGGACGGCAGCATCCAGATCGCCCTTCCCAGAAAAGAAATGCCTGTCGGATATGTCAAGTGGCAAAGGCGTCATTATGTATCGACCACTCAGTAGGGGAGGGCGGCCTTGGAAAGCCGAGATTACTTTATCAATCACGAACACACGATTGAGCAGCAGCCGTTTCAACTGTGAGCAGAATGTCGGCTTGTAGTGGGATGTAGGTTGTTCAACGTGGAGTCCGAGGAACAGTGAGATAGATACGCAATCGGCGTGAGAGCGGAGGCAGTGTAAACCTGCGATGATCCCATGTTAGTTCTTGAGACAATTGGCTGTGGTTCGGTGTAGGCCTTACTAGCATCGCCGAGGGTGATAGATTCCAGAAAGGTCCGTCGATAGCATACCCATAATAGTAGGAGGTTTCCTCCCGTTTGATCCATGGCGAGATGTACACAATGGTCGATGCATTCCAAAACGACTTTCTTGAAGGAAACTTGAGACCACATCCTCGAATTTTCTGCCGTGTGGCCATTGGCGCCAAAGAGTTCAGGCAAGGTGAAAAGCACCGCGATAGACTCCCACCGCAGGTTAGGTCCGCTGAATTGTTGGATCCATTCGTTGGGGTTAGAGAGATCGTCTGAAACTGATTTCATAGTGTTTTCGTGTATCATCTTAGATAGCTCTAGTATCTCTTCGTCTGATGGAGAGGCCGAGATTTTGGCCTGTAAAGTTTTGAGAATCCTGGCCGCAGCGACGCGCACCCAGCCGTGGTTTGCGTTGGCAGAAAAGCTGGCTGGCGGAATTTTGACCTTGGAGAGATCTGGGAGGCCCCGTATAATAGACTGGCATATTGCGATAGTCGACGATGACAACGTCCAACTTAGTCCTCCTCCCCGTGGTGAGTCCTGCGCATCACCGGAGGGTATGGCTGAAGGGGTGCCTTGAATGTGACTGAGTCTCTGGCGAGTCTCATCAAACACTGCTGAGTAACTGGTGAACCCCAAATATCCGTTACCAAATGAGCGAGTGAGTGAGGCTGGGCTCTGACTCTGGCCTCTGGCTGCGGCCAATTGTGATACTGCGGGGGAAGGATCTAGGATTGAAGAGGGAGAAGTGACAGGCACAGGAAGATTCCGTCCTGATCTTGAACGGTCGTGACGCAAGTTGCGGTTCTTGGAAGGCGGTTCGGTCGTTACTGTATAGATGCACGCGGCAGCTTGGCCTCTTTTCTCGCATCTGCTGCATGTTGGCTGTGTGTGGTCACACGCCATCTTCCGGCGTCGACATGGGTCGCAAGCCTGAAGGCGGCCATTACGGCGACGAGGCGCACGATCCATGGTATTTTGATCGCGTTCGTGATTCTCCTGGGCCTATAAGATGTCTTGCTCCTGCAGATGTGGAAGGGAGCGGCGTTAGAGCTCTGGTTGGTTTTTGGCTCAGCATCGCGTCTGATCCACTTCCAATGACACCATTCCAGTTAGCGTGTAGCTGTGTCTATTTAAAGGCTGTCTGTTGCCAATTGCATGGGGGTAGTGCAAGAATAATCAATTTATATCTGAGTATGTTCTTATTGATGCCTTCTGGAGGGAAATCGAATCCAAAGATCCTCGAGGCAAAGTCAAATCCTCGTGATATATTGTCGTTAAACCTCTTTCACCGCTACAGATAACCCGGTCATCAGGATGAGCAATGATTCCCTCCCGATTCTTACTTGTGAATCATGCCAGTCGCCTCCAATGTTGCGGGTTTTCTCTACAGCAAAACTTCATTGGTCCAATCCCACAGCCTCTTTGCGAAGTCTTCACTTTTCGCAACCTCATCCAGCTCGCCGACAACACCGATCGGCGTGTAATATGCTCCGTTAATTAGCACTTCTCTCCTAGCACCAGCAGCCGCCCATAGCTGATTTAGGGCGCCCTGGTCCATTGAGAACTGAGGAATATTCTTCAGCCAGTGGCCCACATACATAGCAACCTTTGCTAAAAGACTCGAATTATGAATCATGCCCGTATCAACAAATCCTGGATGGACAGAAACGCTGAGAATCTTGGGGTACCGGCGTGCAAGTTCGGCGGCGTAAACAAGGTTTGCAAGCTTGGATTGCCTATCAGGATACCATTAGCTTTATAGTCTTTCATATATCCAAGCGAACACAAAAATAGAAAACTGTCTATTGCTGAAGCTTATCAGAAGGGGAGAAGGCCTACCCATATCTTGCCCACGTAACACGTAGATCTCTCATCGGGGTCCTAATATGATCCCAGAACAAGCCGTCCTTTGAGTGGACGTAGTGACCAGCGGAGCTCAGGCTCACTACCCTCACATCGCTTCCTGGTACCTCTGCCGTCTTCTGCAGGACGGGAAGCATTTCTTTGATGAGCATGGCATGGCCGAGATGATTTGTGGCCAGGTGGATCTCGAAGCCGTCGGTGCTTACTCCCAGAGGCACGTCAAGCACACCGGCATTGCATACTAATATGTCAAGACGATCATGAATAAATCTTGTGCAAGAAGACTTGACGGATGCGAGTGATGAAAGATCCATTTGAATAAAGGTAAGCTGTATTCCAGAGTGCGCAGCCTCAAGCTCACTGATGAGAGAAGCGGCAGCGTCACTGTTGCGACCTGTGAAATAGATGTGTTTAGGGTCATGTTTGGCAAAACCTTGGACTGTAGATTTTCCAATTCCGTTGGTACCTAGCCAGGAAAGGGTCAGTAAACATGAAGTTGAGAAGCAAACATGTATCATACCGCCGGTAACGAGGATGACCTTTCCCGCCAAGGAGGGGATGTCTTTGTCTGGGTTAAACTCAGTAAACCCTCCGAGTCCGGGCATTTTGTTAGATTAATAAAGAAAGGGAATGTTATCTAGAATATGAGAGGATGAGGGACAACAAGAGTACTGATTTCACCGTTCTATCCTATGCTTTTATGATATTTACGAGCGAGAATAAGCCCGATATCATAAATTGGGCGAGCCAAACGGGTTAGCTTGTCAGCAGAGTGCAGAAAGAGTCATCCTAGTGCTCCAAAATTCAATATCAACAAATGAGGTTAGAGTGTCAGCAGCTTGCATATCTCCAACCATCTCCACTTCACCCCCATGACTTGATGACACCCTCTAACTTCTAACAGCAACAAAGTCCATCACTTTTTACTCTCGCATCTTCCGCTAAGATAAACAATCGAGTGGACGCAAGAAATTGAACAAAATGAACTGGGAACAAGCCAGCAATGATGATTGGTCGGGGATCTCGGATCCTTCGGAGAGACGGAAAATCCAGAATCGGCTCAACCAGCGAGCGAAGCGCATGTCACCCTACTTACTCTCATTTGGTTTGAAATATTGACCGATACTGCAGGAAATAGAAAGAAGATGCTCAACGGTTTCGTGTCGCACTCGGGCCCGTCGGATCATTCATGGGGTGGACACGGAGTTTTGATACCAGCGTGGTCGAGAGCCAGCAACTCCGTGTCATCTGACCAAAAACGAACTCAGTTGTGGCAGGATGCCAGCTCCCACACAGATCAATATTCGGCCCCCAATTGCAAAACTCCCCGGAAATTATCGGGAGCTATTCGAGCAAATGATCAAGCAAACAAACCGGGGCAGGAAATGCTGATCCCACCTCTCGTTCTTCAGTCTTCAAGCCATACCAGACTTCCCAAAATCTTGTTTCCGCTTTCGCCTGATCATAAACTCATCACACTGGTTCAATACAATCTGAAACGAGCTCTTTTGACCAACATGAATCTACTTGGAAATCTCAAGCACTTGCCGAGAGAATGCGAAAGCGTCTTGTCACTTTTACCATTCGCAATCCCTCCTCCACCCGCGATCCCATCAACACTCTTACCGACGGAGCTCCAGTTGAGCACCCCCCACAATCCTTTGATCGATTCTGTCCCGTTCCCTGAAATGCGCAATAATCTTATTCTCGAAGCCGATAAGTACGATATGTCCGAGCTAGCAAGCGACGGTTATGGTGGACTATTCGGAGGCTTTAGTGATTTGGAACTGCGCGGAGTCATCGTCTGGGGAGATCCTTGGAAACTTGACCAGTGGGAAATTACCGATGCCTTTTCAAAGAAATATCGATTTCTCCTGGCTAATTGTGGAGATCTAATTGAGTCGACAAACCGTTGGAGGGAAAGCAGAGGAGAGGACAGGCTAGTCGTAGAGATATGATAGTATTGAAAGATGCCAGCACCGAAGTTTATCATTCACATAGATATGGTATAATCTGTGAAATTCAATTTCAGTGATAAAAGAGATTTGCAGTTTGCTATTATTATGGAAAGGCCATATTTAATTTTGATGATAACCCCCCGAAAATGTCCGATCTTCAAGGTGGCCACAAATACATCCCTGTGTCCATTAAGATAGGGCCGTTAAGGTAGGTTGAATAGAACTCTATGAGGACAGGTCCAAAACAACTCTACCGTGCAATTTCCCCTCATGCATATCCTTAAAGGTCTGCGTCAAATCATCCATCTTTCTTACCTCAGAGTGGGCTTTCACTATGCCCCTGGCACCGAACTTCAGCACCTCAATCGCTTCATGTTGGTTACCAACGGCGGATCCAACGATGCGGTACTGTTTGGTGACGATCAAACTCGGCTTAGCAGTAGCAATGGCAACCATATCACCTTCGGGCATACCAACGCATACCACTGTGCCGCTGAAGCGTAAAAAGGTTACGGATTGCGCATATGCTCGATTAGACGCTGTGCAGACAACGACTGCGTGGGCACCGAGTCCGTCGTCGGTAAGGGATTTGATGTGAGCCGCCATTTCCTCATCTTTGGAGAATTTGGTCAGGTCGACAAAATGTTCAGCTCCGGAATCCTTCACGAGCTTCTCCTTGGAGCCGTGATCGATACCGATGATACGCATCCCAAGGGCCCTTGCTCCTAGCTGGCATGCCAAGTGACCCAAGCCGCCACCAGCACCGGCAATGACAACCCACTGTCCAGGTTTAGCTTCGCTTTTTAATAATGCCGAGTACACAGTCACTCCAGCACAAAGGAGAGGCGCTGCATCAGCGGACTCTATTCCATCGGGAATCGGGGTCACATAGGCAGCTGGCCCAAGAACATATTGTTGAAAGGTCCCAGGGTGATAGTAACCGGAAACTTTTTGATTCATGCATACGCCGTCCTGACGGACAAGGCAGGGTGCTTAAATGGATTGTAAGAAGATGGATGTCAGAGTAGGGGAATTGACAATAACCGTAAGCACTTACCGCATCTTCCACAAGCACTCGCGATCCACTTGATGCCTACTCGGTCTCCTATCTTGATGCCAGTGACCTCTGCTCCGGGACCGAGCTGCACAACTCTGCCCACACCCTCATGCCCCCCAATCTGTCCTTGAGGAGTTGGTGCAGGCAGGATTTGCCACTTTTTCACTAGTCAGCCTATGGTTTCCACGCAAGAACTCATTCACGTACGCTGTTGGTCATCACGCCATAGTCTGAGTGGCATACTCCCGAGTGGGTTCTATCCGAGGTTTCTTTTTAGCTGGTGTCAATTACATCCATTGAAAACAACACATACAAGTTAATGAGGACTTCTCCTGGACCGGGAGTCGGTGTGTCGATGTCAATTACTTTGGTGGATGTCGTACCCGGATTGTCGTAGATGATAGCCTTGTGCTGCTTGGGTACTACAGGCAGGGATACTTCAGCCATTTTGATGCACTGTTTGTTTCGTTAACCCAGGTTATCCGATTTGCAAAACGTGTTTATGGGAGTGGAAGTTAGATCTGCGATAAGGCGAATATCTTCTCACTTTGGCTGCGATAAATTAAATAATCCAATACAGGAAATATTTAGACAAGATATTGAAATGATGGTATAGACGCAGGAAGACAATGAACTCAAGCCGCCGTTACAAGGGAGTGGGTGGGGGCTTCCTTAAGTAGTATCCTTCCCTCTAGATGAAATCATACATTGTCATATGTTGATAATAGCCAGGGTAAAACCTTGAATCCTACGCGAAGCTGTCGGATGAACCAGAGCGAAACCGCATATGCAGCCTTGAACGAGAATGCGGGGTGCATATCTTGGGGAGACACACTGACAACAGAAACATGGCCGCATCATGGGAATGGTCAGATCAGTGTCCGACGACGCAGATCAGGCTAGGCACTCAGCATGGCTTTGAATGACACGCACCTACGCTTGGATGCTACGTGTATTGAGTAGGCCCTCTCATTAATTGACAAAGAGAATAAAATCTACTTCCAAATTCCACCCTTCTGAGATTCTTCCACCCTCTTCAGTCAACCCCAGCTGAGCCTCGGCAACCCCGCAGGATCTCTAACGGATACGAA